CAGCAAATCGGCGCGGCACATCCTGCGCCACAGGAAGATGTAGCACAGGGAGACGTACCACGGCGTCCGCTACCGCGATCTCCTCCGTGCACACCATCCAGGCCACACCCGCCGTCATGGGCACCACCGGCTGCTGCAACACCACCAACAGGGGGAGGGTCCTCGACAGGGAAGGACTCCTCATCGCAGTTGCCCTGTGCCCGCTAGGCCAAAGCTGCTCTCCTCGCAGCCACAGCTGCCCTAGCATTAGGCCGACAACGCTAACCGCGTCGGCACCACCTCCCCTCCTACTCTAGCGCCACCTCCGCCGCACCAAGTAGGCCCCATCCCCCGCGCACAACCGCGCTGGGTCTCCCTAGTCAAGGCACCGCACCGGCCCGCACCTCGCTGCACTGCCATCCTCGAGCTCGCTTGAATAAGGAGCAAATAGAAATAGAGAAAGAATGAGAGAGAGAAAAGATAAGGAACAATAAAGAAAAAAGAAAAAAATTGAAGGGTAGAATTGTACTTAAATAGGTGTTTCTCTCTCCAATTCTTTTGGGTATAATAAAATAATTCGACGGGTGTCCAGCATCTAATTATCGGTTTTTTGTTGTGTCCTTAGCAAATTCGCGTTTTCACGGTGTCCCTCAGCTAATTACACTTACATAATTTTTGCGTGTCCTGTAGCAAATTTTACCTTCAATATATTACAAATAATTTACATCATCCATACAACAAGCTTGGTCACTGTCTTCCTCACATACTTTCTCCTTGCTAATGTTCCTTCGCTATGATCGTTGCTTGAGTAAGGGGTGTCCTCCTTTGATAGGAGGATGCCCGGGTCAACCGTGACTGTGAACAGAGGTTGCCCCTCAAACTGATAGTAATTTTTGTTCAGTCTTATCCTTGACTCCGACGATTTTCCTTTTTCCTGGGAGAACCACACGGCGTCTTGGCTCGTCGAGCCCTTTCCCCTTCTTTGCTTTGCTAGACATGTCCTTCACGTAGAAAACATACGTTACATCATTGGCTAGGACGAATGGTTCATCTGAGTGTCCTACCTTGTTAAGGTCAACCGTTGTCATCCCATTGTCATCAATCGTTACGCCTCCACCAGTCAGCCTAACCCATTGGAACCGAAACAGAGGGATCTTCAGGGGACCATAATCTAGTTCCCATATGTTATCGATGACACTGTAATACGTGCTAGTTGTACCATCGTATCTCATGGCATCGATACGAACACTCTTCTGGTTCATGCTCTTTCTGTCTTGGGCTCTTGTGAAAAATATATACCCATTGATTTCATATCCTTGAAATGTCGAGATCGAGCAAGATGGTCCCCTCGCCGAGAAGGCTAGTTGTCGGTCAATCATCCCGTTACCCACGAGATGTTGTTGCAGCCAAGTGGGGAAAGTATAAATGTGATGGCGTGTAATCCAGGCATCGGACATGCTGATGTTTTTTGAGTGAACAATCACCCGGTGCTCCTCGACGTAAGGAGCTACCAACAAAGATTATTGCAAAACCGTGAAATGTGCTTTACGGAATAAATCATTGTCTACATTCATTATTGCTTTCCTGCCAAGAGTGTCCTTTCCCCGTACTCTCCCCTCATGGATTGATTATGGTACCCCGATTCGACGAAGGTCTTCAATAAACTCAACACAGAACTCAATGACCTCCTTTGTTCCATACCCTTTGGCGATGCTTGCTTCTGGACGAGAACGGTTACAAACGTACTTCTTTAGAACAGCCATGTACCTCTCTAAAGGAAACATGTTGTGTAGGTACACAGGACCGAGAATATCGATCTCTTTCACAAGGTGACATAGAAGATACGTCATTACATTGAAGAATGACAGTAGAAAGGTCATCTCAAAGTTGATAAGGCATTGCAACACGTCCTCTTGAAACGGTGTTGATGGTCGTTATATACCAATGACGACCATAAATATAACTAAAATAAAGGAGATTTAGCTATGCTTGCAATGCATATTTATTTTAGAATAATCTACTTCCACTTGTACTTGTAGTATTATTTGTTTCTAGGGATTAAGCAAATAAAATGGAGAAGAAATGAGGAAAACTCATCCTTAAGCAAGCTTAAGGATAACTCATTATCATGAACAAGTCTAAGATCTCCACTAGGAAACAAAGTCATGGAAATCCATTTATGCATGAGCCTAAGAGTTGGATTATGGATGTCATTGGTTCTAGGTTTCTTACAAATCGGTGCACCAAAAATATCTTCCCAAAATCTGTTTTTCTCAAAACCGGAAGTTGCCTTCTGAAAATCGACTCTGTTTTCTGGAGCAATCCCGAAACGTACGCTCGGGTGTGAGCTAACACTCGGTCCATCAGCGTCTCGTAGGCTTGAGGTTCCCGTCCACTAACAAGATCAAGATCGGCGTCGGTTAGGAGTAGCGGTTCAGCACCCGTATCCTCCATCGGCACATCGGCGGATGACCGATCACTTGACTCGTGTTGTTGACGGCTGGATTGAGAGCCGTACCCCTTGAACAAGCGAGAGTGTCGTTTCTTCATGAATGCAATAAGAGCAAGAGCACAAGGCAAAACTCGAGCGGGGGCTAAGCTAACACAAGACAATCTACGTGCCGGTTAGCCTTGCACCAAAGTAAGTTGTATATGCAAATGCAAATGTAGAACTCTAAAATGTGAGGCAAAGCTTGAACTAGCTTGGAATGAGCTTGAGAGCAAAAAGAAACTTTGAGAAGGAGTGAAGATGGTTTGAGAATGGGATGAACTCCTTCTACCGGCCATACCCTTTTTATAATGATCTACCAATGGCTATAACTGTGAGGTGGGACCCACTAGCCACTGGCACAAAAAGGGATAACCTGACCGTTGCTTCGGCCGATTCGGCCGAACCATTGGTGGGCCCAACTGGCCCCACATTCGGCCGTTGGACTCCAACGGCTACACGTGTAGGAGCCACGTTGATAAATGCTGCAAAATTTATTTCTTTGTGCTCAGAAAATTCATTGTCCAAATTTGTCTCAAATTTTAAATTCCTAATGCAATGTTTTCAGGAAATTCAAATATGCTATGAATGCAAGAATCAAATTGATGAAAATAAACATGAGATACATACCAACTTTACCTATTGGCGAGGGTGACGTCGATTTTAGGTCCAACGAGCAAGACCGTACCTCCAGCAATTTTAGTGCGAAGATTTTTTGTCCGTCTCTGGAGGTGAAGGAGCGGACGTCGTCTGTTTTACCCGCACACCTTTTTGTTCCTTGGTGTGGGCGGTGGTTTCCTGGGAGCCGGAGCCAAAGGCTTCTTGGCTCGTGCACCAGTTTTTGCCAGTGTCTTCCTTGGATAGGGCCTCTTCCTGGTTGTTTCAATCTGCAGGAATTTCTTCATGAAGACTATGAGGCTGTCCATCTCTGGTAGCTGCACTTCGACTTCTTGGATTTGCGGTGGGTTTGGCCCGTACCTGATCTTGACCTAAGCATTGTTCTGCTCTTGGTTTGAAGTCGAACTTCTCCTCCCTTCCATTGATGTGGAACCGGATGTTTCAAGCCCCCACATCAATACTGGCTTTGGCAGTACTCAGGAATGGATGCCCCAGAATCAAAGGCGTCTCCTTATCTGACTTCATCTCAAGTACCACGAAATCCACCGGGAAGAAGAAGTCCCGGACTTTTACTGGCACGTCCTCGGCGATGCCCGCTGGGTAGTAAACAGAGGAATCAGCCAGTTGGAGCCTCATTGGTGTTGGGATTAACACCGTATAGTTCAGCTTGTCGAAGACATCCTTTCGCATCTCGCTGACACTGGCCCCAAGATCGCATAAGGCATGGTCGAAGTGTTGGATCCCAATTAAGCATGATATTGTGGGACACCCCGGATCTTTCTTCTTTTCCCGGAGCCGATGGAGTATAGCATTGCTACACTCCTCCGTAAGGTTGACCATCTCCGTGGTAGGCAACGCCCTCTTGTTGTTCAGGATGTCCTTGAGGTAGCGGGCGTATGTTGGTACCCGCATTGCATCCACAAATGGGATGTTGATGTGGATCTTTTGGGTGACATCCATGAACCGAGCGGATTGCTCATCCACAGAAGGCTTCCTCTGGCGTTGAGGGAATGGCAGTAGCGTCGTGTCGCAGTATTCCTGCGGCGGGATCTTGTCCGGCTGCACCTCCTCATTTTCCTCGAGTTCAGTTGTGCTAGCAGACCGTGCCTCCTTGCCAGCTTGCCTGGTCCCTGCAATGTTAGAATATGGCGGATCCCGAGTGGATTTTCCTCCCCTCGTGGTGATCGCCTTAACATTTTCTAGGGAAGGTTCGGGTTGCATCGGAATCCTTCCCGTCTCCTTAGCAGGTACTAAAGCGGCTAGCTGCGCCAGCTGAGTCTCTATCCTTTTGTTGCAGCTCAGCTGGTTTTGGAAAGTGGAAGCGAAGCCTTCTCACTTAACATTTATGTTCTCAAGGACTTTATCATTAATGGCATGTTTTTTGTTTGTAGCATCAGTTGTTTTAGCTTGTGCAAAAACTAAGTCCATTAAGGAGGGCTAGTTCAAATTACCGTTATTGTTATTGCCGTTGTTGCCTCCTTGGTATAATGGCCAGGGCTGGTTCCACCCGTGGCCTCCTTGTTGCCGGTAGCCATTGTTCCCCATGAACATGGCTTCCTCACGGGACTCCGGGCAATCGTTCCCCGAGTGACTTGTTCTTCCGCATACCTTGCATGTGATGTGCGAATCCAATGCTTTGACGGTGGCCTACGGCTTGGCCCTCTCTTGATCGTCTAGTTTCTTCATCAGGAGATCCAGTTTAGCGGCAAGCATCTCCTTAATGGTGTGCATGCCACGATGATGGGTCTGGAGTCGTTCTTCGCTCCAGCCCATGTTGGATACCATCTTCTCAATAAGATCAATGGCCGCACGGACCGTCTTTAAGAAGAAGGCACCCCTAGTAGTAGCATCCAGGTGATCCCTGGACGAGGGAGTGAGTTCATTGTAGAAACTCTGCAGGATGAGCCAGTCATCCATCCCATGATAAGGACAGGCGGCTACATACTCCTGGAGATGTTCCCATGCTTCGGGAATCATCTCATCCCTGGTCTGCTGAAAACTTGATATTCTCCCGCGAAGGGCATTGGTCTTGTCCATCGGGAAGAATTTGGAGAGGAACGCGGTGGAGCATCTATCCCAAGTGTTAACTGTCGCCTAGTTCGCGTAGAACCACTGCTTTGCCTTTCCCAAGAGTGAGAAAGGGAACAGACATAGCCTCACGGCGTCCGGAATGACACCTTCTACCGTGTAAGTGCTACAGATCTCCAAGAATTGCTGCAGATGAGTGCTTGCGTCCTCATTCGGCTTGCCGCAAAATGGGCTTGCCTGCGCCATAGTTACCAGGCTGCATTTAAGGTCCAAAATAGTGTCTCCGATGTTGACAGCCGGGCCAACAGTCACATTGTCAGCAGACGGGGCAGCGAATTCGCGAAGGGTCTTCTCGGCCATGTTCCTAAAACTTGGTGACGCTTGGATGGATGGTTTCTTTTCGGAGAGTCTCTTCTATGGAGGGATGACACGAGGTTTGACGCTGCAGAATAAGGCCTCTGGATTCTCGTTAATGTATTTTGGTAAATTGAAACCAGTAATACACTACCTTGTTTTCACGACACAAGTGAAAACAATCAAGGTTAGCCTGCAAAGGACAGCGACTCATATAGAGGTACTATATATATAAAGTTATTAACTTAGTCATCTCATTATTAATCTTCCCCGGCAACGGCGCCAAAAATGCTTGTTGGTATTTCTTAACGACATTACTAGAAATATTCTTTCCTAGCAATGGCGCTAGAAATAGTCCTGGTATATTTATGGTTACAGAAGTAATTCGCAAGTGCACGGATATACCATTGTAGCATTTCACCCGGAAGTATTTCAAGGTATCGTATTTTTAATCCCAAGGGAAGATAATAAGAGTGAACTTTACTAATGCACTTTATGCATATATTACTTGTAATTGTCAAAGTCTAAGCAGGGGTTAAGTTTAATATAAGTGTAGAGTGACACGAAGCAAAGCTAATCAAATCCTCATAATAAAGTAATTCTAACTAAGTGGAAGAATATTTAGAAAGCACTCAATTCCTATACTTCTAACATACACTCAAATCCTAGTTTACATCTGCTAGTATACAATCGTGTGGCCAATACCCCCTAACAGTGCCCTCCTGGTACTTCGAGATACCACCCTGGGTTGCCAAGTTCCTTACGACAACTTGTCGTGGCCGTCCAACTGAGGCTAAATACGGAGGAGTACCCTCCCCAGGAATTTGTCTTAGGAATATATACTAATGTGGAGGAATACCCGTATTGAGCTATCACCATGAGCGGCCCACCTCTATTATCCCACAACATATATACCCAATTAATGATATCTTATAATCTAAGCACCACGCTTACATTACTAAATACTAATCTACACATGTGCACATGACATAGAGCAACCGATAATTCGGACATTAAACCCGCACCATTGCACCTCACTGGTAGGCTACCCACACAATCGGTACGACACATATATAAATTAAGATAAGGACTCAGACTAAACAAAGTACCAAAGATATATAGAGAAGAGTATTTCATTAATATCGAAAGTATTACATAAGAGAATACAAGAGCTGCTAGAGCCATACCGAAACTCTTCCGAAGACTCCGAGGACTCCGAATACTATTCTATTCTACTCCACTTAGCACTAAGATACTAGTACTAAAGTATGAAGAGGAATTTGAGCTTGCTTGAGTGTGTTAAGAGAGTGAATGAGCTCCTCCTTTTATAGGGTCGGTATGATGGTTACTATCATGCGAAATGTCCATTTTATCCTCACAACTGTCATTGAGAAGCAATCCTAGACGTCCACGTGGAGGGCTGACCTGACTGGACGCCGCTAGGGTTCGTCCACGAACTCTGGGCTACGGCCCATCAGGCCTCCGTGCTTCGGTCAGGGTGGCTGACAGGTGGGTCCTCATCAGCGGTTTTGACTATTTTGGGTGGTTTTCGGATGATTACTACTTGACATGTGGGCCACCTTATGCCATTTGCTTGCTTAGGAGTGAGGTTTTCTCCACATTCTGTTTATTTTATTTGATAAATTCCTGCAATATGTTATTCTCCAAATACAAGTGGAACTATATTATTTGAAAACAAATATGCATTATAATTGTTGGAGGTACACCACGGGGCCCTTCGGCCGGACCTACCCAAACCCTGAACTTAGGCGACAGGCTCAGACTGGAGGCAAACGGCAAAGGTCGAGAAGGCAACCATATGGGCGAAGGCCACATGGCGAAAGCTGTGGCTCGGAAAACGCCGACTTCGCCAAGCGAAGACCTCATCAGAGGGCCGCACGGGCGAAGATGGTGAGGCGAAATCCTTAGCACGAAGGCACGGGTTTCGCCAAGTACCGAACCTCGCCGTCAGGAGGCCCAGCGGGCCGCTACGCCTTCGGGGAATTTTGACAAATAGATGGGCCAAGCCATTTAAGCCCAATAGGGGCCATACATGTAAAAGACACTGTGTGCCCCCAATAATGTCCCTATCATAAGGGTAACCATGTAAATTCCCCCGTAAAACCAAAACCCTAAAGGGGGGAGCCTGTAATAGGATTATAAATAGCCCCCTAAGGCCATGTAATAGGGGGATCCAAAAAATTTTACTAAGTAATACAATTGTCTTTCTTTTCCAACCACTGTTGAGATAACCACGCCTTTCGATGTGACACAGTTGTCCATTCGACAACAGCTAGCGCTGACCGTGGGGAGCTCCGAGCGAAACCACAGATGCCACCGAAGAAGATCGTCAAGGAGAGAGTTTTCAAGCGGAAGGAAGGTGGAAGCGAAGGGGAGATGGTAGCCGAAGAGGGGTGTTAACGACCAAATATGGTAATTTAGGTATCGGAGATGGAGATAAAATCGAAGTAGAATCCAAGATAGAGATTGTTCCGGAAATAGAGCAAGAATCGGCTAAAGTCTAAATCGGCTACGATCAGGATCAGCAGAGTTCGAGTCGAACTAGGTAGCTGATTGAGCCGATTCCGACAATGTGACTCGGTACACGTTGTCGGGTTGAGTTAATATGCTTCATAGGGATTGCCACGCACGGATTGAGTCCTGAAAAGGCAATTGTATCTACAAATTAGGATATTTATGTAATTTCCTTAGAGATAAGTTGGGCAAAAGTCTGCCGCAAAGACTTATGGTATCTTGGAGTTTGTTAGAGATAATAGTCGTGTCCGACAAGGACGTATTTTGTATCTCGGGTATAAATATGACCCGAACCCATGTAATCAAACAACACACGTTCAATAACAATCTTGGCGCATCGCCACCCTTTTACTTTCGTTTACTTTTGACGAGTTCTTGCTTTCGGGTTGAGCTGCATCGGTTTCGATCTTCAACTAGAGGTAAAACTTGTTATGGCGGCATGCGTTCTCGGGATTACTGTTTCCATCTTTATGATACTCTAATCTTGTTTATGTAATTCGTCGAGTTATCATATATCCTATCTAATATCTGACAATATCGTTATTTAACCTTCAATCGGCTAACATCTATCATTGAAAGGCAGCCGATTAGGTTAAATACCAATATTGACTTAGATTATATAGGGTATCCACCATCCTATGAAACATCCAACTGCTTGATTGTCTAGATATTGTCCTTCTTTTCATACTTATAGCTGCATTAGTTGAGTTTGACCTTATAAGTCGTGATTAGAATCTCAATCTCTAGCCTGCTTTTGGTTGCCGAATAAGGTTTCATCGGGGTTTCAGCCGATTTAACTACTCTATATCTTATATGCTTCATTGACATGTTAAATCCGCCCTTTATGTTAAGATCTTGTCGCATTTAGATATATCAATATGGAGTAGTATCGGAGTATTAGTCGATACATGCTGGATCTATCTGATCGGCTATGCTATGAATGGTTATAATCTTCTTGTTAATATATATTTCAATCTAAGTGATTTATACTGTCTCGGCATGGCGACCGATCTATCCCAATCACTTGAGTTAAGTATATATCGACGGAAGTATTATATACTATTAATATCTTTAGCCGATCGAATATATTTAGTTCTTTCTTGCCTATTTACAACTGTCGATCGACTCAAATATGACATTGGCTAAAAGATAAATGATACGTCATCGGCGACTGGCCGATCGGCTATCGTTTATAGATTTAACCACTATTTTCCTGTCTTTATTTCTTGTTGATTGCAGGATCAAATCAATTGGCACGCTCATGAACCTAAAGGCAAGATTTTTGTACCTGCACTGAAGTTAAGCTGATCTTCCAGGCCAGTGTGTGTTTTTCGCATCAACACGCTTTTGGCAAGCCTGGTGGGACACGACAAACATGTCAGCAGAAAAGCCACCTCTATCATCGACGGGCATGTCATCAGACCCTCAAATCAAGATTCCAAAACCGATTGGGTCCGACGTTAATGAAGGGAACATTGTTCCAGTCACTATAGATAAGCTGTCACCAGAACAAAGGAAGGATTTTGAATTAATGATGAAGAGCGCTCAGGAGCAATTCATGAAGTCGTTCGTAGAAACCCGTGGGAAAGTTTACCAAAAGTACAAAGTAAAAGTAGTTACTGCCGACGAAGTTGGATCAAGCTCATCCCAAGGCGATAAAGGCATTGCCGATGGCTCAGGCAAGAAAGGTGACGGCCTTCAAGATGGAGTGGTTGAGGATCTTGGTGAAGATAACAACGAAGTGCAACCGCAATTTAACAACTTCCAAGATCGGATTGACTACGCAGTGCAACATGCTTTGATCAACCAATCAGGAGTCCTGGTCAATACCTTCACAAAAATGGTAAAGTATGTGGTTGATGGTACAATAGCTGAGCACCAAGTTATAGGGCCAGTTTATCTTCCAGGAGACGTTTTCCCAAATTACAGAAAATTGGTAACTGGTAACCAACAGTCTGCTACCAATGCACCATCAATCCAGCCGATGGCATCAGCTTCGACTCCAGCACCAGCTGCACCGTCATTGGCACCAAGGCAAATAATTAGTAATCCTTGCCTCTTGTCTAGAGAACAACCGCAACATGCTGGTCAGAATATCAATCGGC